CATCACTTAAAAGAAATCTGAGAGGGGTAAACACCCTGCCAGCGCCGGCCAGGCATCAGCACAGCTCGCGCATGCCGCTTCAGGAACCAGCAGCCTCCCATGCACGGACAGAGCTCACCGCAACACGCTGTATGAGGCACTGCCGCCATGCAAACACCTTCTGCATGAACGCAAAGAGGAATTAAGCGACTACCACACGTTCCTTTCACATCAAGCGTTTCCTGCTGCCCCACACATGCTAAAAAGCAATCCCAGCTGAAACCAGAGCGGCTTTCCCAGTCTTTGCTATCCCACTCTCAAGTCAACCAGTAAAGCTTTTTACAGTAGCAGAGCTGTTATTCACTACTCAGTTATACAGTAGCAGAGCTGAAACCCTGCTCCCCCAGGAGTACTCAAAGGGCATCATGATACTTTTGCCCTGGCAGATTGCATTGCCCCCCGACTTATAAACAACTCCTTGACCTTCTGAGGAAGAAGTCAGAAGTCTTTCCTCCCCTCTTCTCGTACCTCCATATATGTCTGCAGCATATACACTCTAAAGCTTTCATTTCAACTTATGGCCATAGAATGTTACCTGGATCACCAGGTATGAGTAGAAGGTCCTGACGGAGCACAAAGCCTCTTAATTAGCTACAGCCTTTGACTGGAACTAGGAGAGTGGTGAAAACTATTCAGGGGTGAAGATACTATGTGAGCACAAACCAGATTATTCTGTTGCTCTGGTATTGGAAACTGCTTGTGCTTAATTTGAGCTAGGTAGAAGAGTAAAGACCAAGTCAGATAATTTCTTCTAGGAAGCATATAAAGTAAATGAAACGTAAGCAGCACGAACCAAATAACCAGAAGGCAGTCTTGGGGTACAAGACCGCCGACATCTAGGTAACTGTACAATAACACCATTTAGGGTCCAGACTGCTTAGGTAACAGTCAGAAATAGCAAATCCAGGTAGGTATGTAGGACCAATGAAGAAAAAGTGATTTGGGATGGGTTGTTTAACTGGGAAAAATGTGGGCAAAGACAAGGCACAGGGGCAGCAAAAAGGCAGGTTCAGGAGGGGTGGGGGGAAGGAAGAAGGCTATTATACCTCATTCAAGCACCACTCCCACTGTGGAAGTGCAGTTGTCTATGGGCAGTTGAGAAGCTTACCTCCAGACTTGGGTCTGCAGCTAACAAAGCACACCCAAGCACACATATATAATCTTCTGTGGCAATTAATGGTAATTAAAAGTAACATCAGAGGCTCTTCTGCATCCTTAAGTTCGCTTTTACAGAACAGATTATAATTTGCTAGTTTTGAAGAGCTCTTCTTCATGTTCTACAAGCACATTTAATTTCCTATCTTTTTATTGCAAACTTTAAAAATCTTCACACGCTAAGTTAGCACTGAAACCTAAACTTCTGGCTGAAAGCTGAAACTTCTATGCTTCCCGGCCCACACAAACATTCAATAACTAGTCAGCCATTTCAAAACTCCTGTACCACCACCCATCCCGTATCTCCAGTGAAACCTTTTCTTCCTACATGAATCCTTAATGATCTCAAGTCTCCTTCTCTCAGGTCCTCCTTCTGCTGACTGACATCTGAAAACTTTTCCCTCTGGAGACAGTACAGGGTTACTTCTAAACCAGTCAGAAAGGATCTACAAGAGGTACCCTTCCTCTAGGGAGAGTAATGCGACATGGTAAATTACTACAACTCAGGCATCTTGTTGTGTAATTATACTGTCTTAAAGCTCCCTTGGGAAAACAAAACAGAAAAAATTTCACACACACATCCCTCTCCCACTCAAATATCAGGTAAGCTTTATGGAACATTATAAAACTCCAGAACATTAGAAAGATATCTAAATAGTTTTTTAAAGACAGTTTAAATGTTCAGCAGTGGACATCTTTAAATAACGGAAAACACTTTTCAAAGTCACTTCATACAAATCTGTTTTAAGTAAGGTGCATTGTTATAATACCATATCTGGCATACAAGCCCTGGCTACCTTTATAGAGCGTGCTAGCAAGAGTACACCTGACCAGCACAAAACAGATGAAGGCTGAGCATGGCACACATCTCTTCTAGAAAGTGAGCAGGCAGAAGGCCTGGACCATTTGTACAGCATTCAAAACCAAACCTTGATTCACTTCAAGAAGATATAATTCACTCCACAGCTGCTGGCCTAGAGGGCAAGGATTGCACCTTGGCACCATCCCAAGAAGAACATACTGATGTACCTTCAGATTTTTTCCAATGCATTCACCAACCAAACAGGTCACAGAAAGCTTCAAAATATTCAGAATGACTTAGGCAAGGCAAGCTACACACAGAAGATAAGCATTTTATTACTCATGACAAAAAGGCAGAATACTGAATACATCAGTATACACCGGAACATTTTTAATTCTAAAGAAATGCAACTGTTCTCTATCCCTTTCACACATTAAAACAAAAAAATCAAAATAATCAATGGCATGGTATAAACAAATACAGAAATACATTTAGGAAATACATTTAGGAAATACAACCAAATGATAAACTGCAGTTTCCAACTGAATTTTAATTACTTTGATCAAAACAGTGGTTTTGCTCAGAATTATGCTTACCCAAAAACAAACAGGAAAACACACCTAAACTTCTAAATCCTATGGAAATGACAATTCCTTTCAACTAGATTACAAGTATAGCCTCTGCTACTTACAAAGAAAAATGCTGTTATGCTGAGGTTGCGGGCAGGGGAAGTACACAGCAAAAAAAGGAAGACTGGGAATAAAACCCGCAGCCACACATTCCAGAAGCTTCATCCAACAATCGTAACGTAGCCTTATAATGCACTTCTGAAGATTTGTATGAACAATGGCAACAAAAGACATTCTCTATATTTACAGATGCAGCATAATCCTGAAAATACTTTCAATTACCTGTTTTTTACCTTAGGCACTTTGGGTATCAGACCTTCAGAAAAGAAATTACTATCACAGTCTAGACTCCTTCTGAATTGAAAATATAACACACATTTCTGCAAATAAATCTAACATTTCCAAGTTGTAGTACATGAAAATAGTACACACACAGCTGTTTATTTTTTCTTAATCATCTGCCACTTCTAGGCTCCATTTTGCAACATTAGGTAAGCAGTCTTCTACAACTACACACAAGTTAAAGCACAATACCCTTTACATTAGCAGAAAATCTAACTTAAAATATGCAAATTGTATATTAATGCCACACCAAGAAGACTGGCATTTAGGATATCCACATGATCTTTAAAAAGACACCCAAGCACTTGCTATTCCAATTGAATGACAGCCATAAGTTACAATCAGAGTTAATTAAGCCCTAAATTTTCATGTAGAGTCAAAGACACTAAGTATTACTTGGCATTACAATGAACGTAGCCCAGAGAAATAAATGTAAAGGTATCACTCAACATGAGTAATGTTGCACAATACAACCTTTATCATAAGGGGAAGGAGTATGTCAAACTATTGCCAAAGAACATGCCATGTAATCTTATAATTTTAACTATGAAAAACTTTGAATTCTGCCATAATAAAAAAGTGCCATATAAAGAAAACAGTTAACAGTCACAAATGGCTACAAATTAACCTCTCAATTTAATCAATACATTAACATAACACTTTGATACTGTATCTAATATTTACGTAAGAAAATTGCTGGACATGTGTCTCCTTTAAAAAAAAAAAGAAAAATTAAAAAAATTCTGGTTTCCAGATAAAGCTTTCAGGTTTTCACAGGAACTAAGTACATCATAATATCCATTTGGGGGAAAGGGGGAATCGTGTTCTTAGATCTTATATGCATATAGAGATGCATTAGACGTACTGTCTATCATTAGGGATGTATTCACTTTTTTTGTTTAAATTCAAACTATCACAGGGCAGACAAAAAAAAAAACCCTCATACTTCAGGCCTCTTCATGGTTTATCTTTGTCCAAACAATTAGGGGGCGGAATAAATAAATAAATGCATAAATAAATGAAAACCGGAGAAACATCTGACGCATTCTCATAATTTCAGAATGGTTAGTACTTTAATACATATACAGCATATCATCACTTTTCAGTTCTCCTGAAATTTCCTCCTCCACCAAAGCAGAAGAAAGGAAAAAGCTCTGAATGTTTCCCCTCAAGACACAAACAGACTAAGTCCACAGAAAAAACTTCCTCTCTCCATTCTGACAGATGGGTGGGGAGGATGGAGGAGAGAGATCAGCCAGCTATGCACACTCGCAGAAAGAACAATTCCAATTGTGATGCAACCCAGACACCACCTAAGAGAACCCCGAGATAGGTCAATTGCATCTTTACACCAAGAGCTAACTGAAAACAACTTAAGGGGTCTCTCTCCCATAAACAGGGATTCAAGGCTTTGGCTTAATGTTAGTAAACTTTCTCCTAACAAGAGTTAAGTTACACAGGAACTTTGGAATTAGAAACAGAGAAGCATATGCTTGGCATCTTTGTTTTCTGAGCATCCAACAAGGAGACAATACTACTGTAAACCAGATGTTACTGCAAATAAAGTTGATATATATATACACACAAAAAAAATTGTAAAAGCACTCTGAGAGAAAGATTTGCCAAAAACATGATTGTGTAAATAAATATAACGAGATCTTGGGAGGGGAAAAAATAAAATACACTCAGAGCAGTATCTGCTTTTTTTTTTTTTTTTTTAATGCTGTGAAGAAGTACTTTCCTAACTGCAGTCTACCTACTATTCAAATAATTCTTCTGATAAGTCTTTCTGGACTGTGGATCATCAGAATCACAAGTCTCAACCAGTGCAGTGCGTCTAGTAGCAGACTTACTCTGCTTACTTTTCTTGTCATCATAATGTTGAAAAAAAACTTCTTCACAGTATTGTCCACCTTTTGCAGTTTTTCTTGTGTTTCAGTGTTATATGAACTCAAATCCTTTGTTAATGATATTCCAGCACCCACTTTACCAGACTTCCTTATTTCAACCTTTATCACAGATAGTTCTATGCTTCAGATACTTTTTTTTGTTTCATTTGATTTATTTCTGCCACCAAAATATGAGTTTTTGTCAGAATTGTAATCTAGTTCACAAAGGGAAGCACAGTAACTAGAATTTGGACACTTTGGCTGCAAATCTATTTTTTCTGATTTAATTGTGTTAACCGGAATGATGCAGCACTTACTTCTAGAGTAGACTGCATGGCCAGCAGCAACTAAGTCATGAGCTAGACTGTGCTCCTCATACAGAACATCCACCTCTAATTTCATTTCAGAACCATAGTGTTTAAAGTGAAATACCAGATCCGGTTTACTAAGAAGTTTCTGAAACAGAAGTTTAGCTTCATCACTCCAGTATTCCCCCAGGGCAGGAATGGTATCATGTAAAGAGCAAGAGTGTGCCAAGCGTGGTATACAAGACACACTTTCCGGAATAACTTTAAGTTTATGGATATCAGAGCAAGGGATGCTCTTCAAAAACCCATAATCAATCAATGTAAGAACAACAGACTGACTTGTTACTTCATTAATTTCTGCCCTGTTCCACTGTGCTTCCAGTCCAAATTCGATCAAGCAGCTAGCACCAGGAGCCACAAGTTCTTCTGGCAAAGTTGGCAAGCTGTCAGGAAGGTCAGAGAGAAGCAAAGACAAGTTTTTCATGCAATCAAAAAAGATTTCAAACTGGATGCAGAAGTTTGAAGGATCAGTAACTGCAGTTGCAAACCCAGGATACTTTCTGCCACTCTGCAGCAGCGTCCATGGGATTGAATTTATCTTGAATGATGTATCAAACTCCTTACAATCTGTATCACTGGATTTTTCTCGTCCAGCAATAGTCCCACAATGACTTAAAAGCTGGTTCAAATACTCCTGAAGTAGAATTTCCCCTACTATAATATCTACTTCCCAGATATGAGAGGATTCCAAATATCTCAAAAACAAGATCCTTATTTCATGATCCAGGAGTGCATTTACTACATGGACAAATGGAATTTTCTTCAGTTTTTTAAACCAAACCCATTTACAAAATACAGCTTGTTTAGGAATACTTCTGATCTCATCACTGAGCATCTTTGCATTAGTTAAGGACACCATCTCACAATTGCCATAATCCATGAAAAAAACTAGCATTAACTTCTCATTAACGAATTTCTTTATCACTTTTGATCGATACCACTTCAAGTTCCTCTCAGATTTCGTCATGCATTCCAATCCTAATTCAATGTCATCCACTCTAAGCAAATCACTTCTTTGTGCTTCTTTGACAAGCATTACATTTAACTCATGTAATATCTGCGAATTTCTAAGTAACTGTACATGAAGTTCTCCACACTCTGCAACATTAGTTACTTCTGCTCCTTCTACCTGTCCAGAATTTAGATCTTGAGGAAGGACATTTAATGCTGTTTTGGAAGTTTTTTTCACGTTAACAGCCTTAGTTTCACTTTGACCACCTAAACCATTTCTTGATTTTCTATCTTGTAGATTACCATTTGTAACGAGATTTTGTTTTGACCTATTTTCCTGATTATGGACAGTTGTTTTTTGCCACCTTGCCCTACCTTGTTTCTGCAGAAGGTCATTAGACATAGACTTCCCATCACAAATCACATCTATTTCCCATTGCTCTCCATGTTGCTGTAAGAACTTGCAAGCAACTGCCTTGTTATTTATTTTGCTCACAAAATAGGAAGTAATTTTATTAGTCCAGCCTTCACCAGGCACACTTTTTACTCTGCTAAGGAAACAATGAACACTGAGCCTCGGCAAGGTTAAAAACTTTTTCTGAATCCTGCAGATTTTTGAAGGACTTACAACTGCTGCATTACCATAGTCAATGAACTCTACTTCAAAGGAGTTTCCTGATCTCAGAGTTTTAACAACTGCTCTATAGTAAAAACAATCAGTTTCATGCTCTGCTACAATGAGATCCCCTACCATGAGCTCATCTAAGCAACTTTCACAACCCATATTCACCACACTTTCATTTAATTCTTCTGCTAGTTGCATTATTAAGTTTTCATCCTCTGCAAGCTGAACATAGAAACTTGATGGACTATTCATATGAGAAATATACCCTGCTACTTCAGAATTCACCTGAATATCACGTTGAGGAAGAAAATTTAGTCTTTCATAATGAGATTCAGAGAGAGCATTTACAGTTACTTCCTTTGAACTTAAAGCAGGATGACAGAGTGATGGAGAAGCGGGCTCTCCAACCAGAGGTTCCTCTCTGTCCTCCAGAACAGCACTGAGAGTATTTCTAAAACCTGGTTCTTCACTGTCCTGTAAAGTTAGTGGGTTTGAGGACCCACTACACAACTTTTGTGTGCTATGTGCAGTTTGCTCTTCATCTTCAAAATTCTGTCCAATACCTGACTGATAATACTTATCATACAGTTGGCATTTCACTTCAGTTTTCAATTTAACTTTCTCAGGATTTTTAACAGCTACTTTGTTAATTTTTTTGTCATCTTCCATGTGACGCATCACTCTTCCATTACTTCCAACAAATTGTTCTGTGCCATTTTTCAGTGCCAATTCTTCCCATATTTTTTCTTTAATTTTCTGACTTACTTTGAGCTGCCCATCATACAACTCCACAATAATCTGTCCATCTGATTCTCTGGATACAATTAGAGCCTTCAGCAGTTTACCAAGGAATGTTTCCTTAAACCATCTAGTAACTCTTGCTGGAATTCTTGTCTCCCTGAGATCTGACAGACAGCATTTAATAGCTTGCATGGGTGTGAATAGTAGGTCAGTGGCAGAGTCTGGAATAGGCATCAACTGGTCTCTCTCTACCATATTCTTATTTCCAAAATCCACAAAGTCAGCACATAGATAGGACGTCGATTCCACAGGAAAAGCCAAAGCTCTATAAAAGAGACCATCTTCAAAATATCTGGCAATACATAATCGTGTATTGCCGGTATCGTATTTTGCATCATTTGACATTTTACTTATGACACTAACCTTCTCCATCAATGCTTCTATAGTTTCAGTGTTTCGATTAAGCTGACAATAGAACTTTGAAGGACTATTTATGTAAGTTATATAAACTTCTTCCTCACTTCTGATTTTTACATTAAAAGATGAGTAGCAAAAACTGTATAGAGTACCTAAAGCTGCAAGATTTCTCAGACCAATAAATTCAGACTGGGTGAGACCATGTTCTCCAAGGAATTCCTCTGCACTAACAAATGGAGTCTGTAAGTCAACTATATTACATAAAGAGTTGGGGCCTATAAGAATAAGAGCATAAATGACACAAGTCAGTGGTCCTCTAGAAGCAGAAATTAAGTCTTTAAAACGTCTACCCACTTCTTCAGAACAATTAAGTGAGCCTGTCTGTAAGGGTACATTTTTAAGTGCACACCGAAATGCTTGACTTTCCAGAGCTAGGAAATCCGGAAGTCAACTTCATTTGTGGATACTTGCTGCACAACAGTTGCTCTGTACCACTTCCCATCTCTGGGACATTTAACAACACAGGCAACCTGTCCAGTTTTGTAAGGACTGGAATGGCCTTTATAGTAAGTCTGAATTTGTTCCATCAATTTATTTAGCTCTGGCAGTTTGCTTTGCAACTGACATGAAAAATCTACAGGTGAAACAATGTAAGAACACACCACTTCAAAAACAGCTCCTGGTTTAAACACAAACTCTTTATAAAATAATTTTTTCTCTGGTACTGATTTATGGCTTTTAGACATAGCACCTTTTCCAAAACAGGACAGCACAACAGATTCTCTCAGCACCAAAGGCACACTTAATGTTTCCTTATGAAATCTCTCTCCATTTCTGGATACCTTACTTTTACTAATACTACAGATACTCTGTGCATTTACCTTTTTTTTTTTCTTCAACTTGTGGGGACCTAAGGCTTGACTTTTTTTTGCCAAATTTAGAACAGAATCTGGTGCCTTTTCCCAGTATTCAGCATATCCTGCTTGAACCATACATGTGGCAACATTTCCGTGCTGCAAAGCATTCTTACACTGCACATTAACAATGTATTTGTCGTTTCGCTTTCCAACCACTTGAAGGTTGAGTACTTTGTTAAACACTATATCTTTGAAGAAATCAGTGTCCTTTTTAACCCACACACCATCAATGGGAAACGTACGAGCAAGTGTACAACACATAGCTAAAGCTGGTAAATCAGAAAACTCAGGGAGCAATGTTTTCACATCATGACAGGGTACTGTATCTGTATTTCCAAAGTCCAAAAAATAAACAAAAATGTTTACATTAAGCACTTCAATTACAACAGCCCGATAATAACGCATGTCTTTGCTGTATCGGGCACAGCACAGCAATCCAGGTTCTGGGTTTTTAAGGATCATTTCATCAGCTCTACATCGGTTATATGCATCTGTAATACTTTTCATCAAAGTTTGAAATTCATTCTGATAGTCACATGTTTGAATCCAGAAGTCAGACGGATTTACAACATACACCACAAAAGCATTATGGAAAGAATTCATTTGCATTTCTACTGTTTTGCAGTAGCTTGACAAAGAAATATCCCATTCACGTATGCAGTTTTTTGTATGTTTATTTCCAGTACAATTCTTAAATGAATTGTATCTCTCATCAAATGGTTTGTAGTTCACAGCAATACTTGGAATTTTTGCGTCCGAAAGCGAGACACATAATGCAGTTGCCTCATTCAGGTTTTCTGGATGCCTAGCATTAATTCCAAGATTTTGATTTTGCAGCGTAACATAATACAAGTGCTTAACGTCACTGAATAAATCAACATGGACACATACAGAAGTTTGTCCTATCAAGGCCTGTATAAGTTCTTTCAGCTGAATTTTTATTACTGTTTCATCCTGACTATCAAAACAAGACAGCGCACATGGAAATGAAATCATCGGTAACGCCATGAACTCTACTTTAAGTTTCTGAATGCAACTAGATGGCACAGCTTCAGTATCGCCAAAATCCATAAACCAGACTTCCACACTGTCAGCGAGAAGCTGTTTTATCACTCCTCTATGCCATTGTCCATTTTGCCTTTTGGCAGCACAGAGTAGCCCTAAACTATCAAAAGATTTATTATTTTCTGTACTGACAGCTTCATAGTACAAATGCATAGCTCCCGTCAAATCTTCCAACTCTTTCTGCCATTTCTGTATCTGACAGTAAAATTTATTTGGGCTTACTGCAACAGTTATTTTTACATTTTCTTTACTGCCAACAGGTAGACGTGGAAAAAGATCACCTGGAACCGGCCAAAACTCTGTTGGTTTCCCAGAATTACTGAAACTAAGCAACTCCTTCACTGAACATTTCTTTTGCAACAACTGTGGTACTCTCTTACAAAGCATTTCTTGGGGAAATGCTCTCAATGTTTTGACAATAAGACAAAATGAATCTTCGTCAATAAATTTTCCTAACTGCAGTTCAAGAATATCACTAACGACCTTTGGCACTTCTAAAATAAACAGTTGGTATGGTATAACGGCTTTCACATGACCTGTAATATGTAATCCTACCAGAGATGAAAAATAGTTAATGGCTTTTGGACACCATTTTTCTCCAAGAGGAAGAATGCTTGCAAAAACACCCAAAACCATCTTTGGAGGCAGCCGAAACAATTCATCAGAAGCAGAAGCAAGATGCATTTCCTCAACCACTAACACTTGCCCAGTGTCTATAAGAAAAGCCTCACAGATATTGTGTCTCTTTTCCAGAACTCTTCCTCTATGCCATTTTCCTTCTGTGTCTTCCACCAAACAAGGTCCACCAATGTAAACATTATCTTTTACTTTGAATACACGTTGTATTTCATTTTGTAGTATGTAATAATCAAGCTCACATCCTGCCTTGCATTGACCCTGGAATACTATAACCAAGCATTCAGGATGGCATTCTATATGAGTTATCTTCAGATTCACATCTACTATGTTTGGAGATGGAGTCAGAGATTCCATTCTGTCTGCAAAGAAAAAGAGTAAGATCAGCCTGATAATTCTCAATACTTTTTTCTTTGTCAACTAATTCCATACATAAAATTTGTTTTTAAAATGCTTTATGAGCATATTATTACACTTCTGGTTAAAATGTATACTAAAAACTTTGCAAGGTCATGTTTTACGCAAGTGGGACACACAACAGAACTCTTGTTGCAAAGACATGTTCAGACAACACCTGAAAAAAGTACCTCTGGACTTGCTCATGTGGCTACAGACTGATTTTATCACTTGAGAATAATTCATAGTCAGAAAGTTGTTCCCACAGTAACACAGAGAGGGTGGAACACGACATACAACACAAGGAAACAGGGAACAGGACACACAACACAGACAGACACAGACATGCAGGGACGTGGAACAGGACAGACACCTAGAAAGATAACTATTTCTTCTCAAAGAACAGTATTTCTGCTCACAGAAAACAAAAGAGTGGAAATCAATTCATGTTATTTATACAACTTCTGCTCATGTCACAAATGTTACTTGCACCCAGAAAATTTAAATGCAAATCTCTCCAAATAAGAAGAATTCGGAGTTTCATTGCACTGGACTTGCAGTTATAAGGAGAGTTTACCTGCAACAGTATTTCCAGGCTGTTTCCTTTTTTTTATTTAGTATGTGAATGACCACGGGCTCCTCCCCTACTCATCCTGCTTTTTCTGTGTAAATCATTTCTTCCATCAATGACATATTACAGGTCTGGGTTTTACTGTTTACTTAATCTGGCTGTCTATACACTATCAGGTGTAGCTGTAGCATATTTTAAGTTTTCATAATTGCACGGACATACAGAATACATTATCTATGTCCAACACTTCTGCACTGCCCACCAACAATCGTGCCAGGTCTGTTTTTTACTGCCTCAACCCTCCAATTCTGACAATTTAAGTATCTTCAGACCCTTCAGATACTTCTCTGACCTTCATCTATTATCTGGTCTTCAAAATCAGTTTCCAGTTCCGTTCAAATTTCTCAATGCATCTGTGATTTCATATTGTTTAAAAAGGCTGTGTATGCCCATAATTTAACCAAGCAATTCTATGGAATAAAGTGCTGTTCTAACAAAGTACTTAGGGGTTGACAACATCTGTCAAATGCAAAGACAATGGATAAACACACAAGGATAGACTGGACAAAGCATATACTTGATTTATGAATTTCTGTGTAAAGCTGAAATCGAAACTTTCAGTTTCAACTACAAGTTATTAGAGCAAGATCTCCCTCAGTCTGCAAAAAAAAGTCTTCAACAGAACTGCCACAATAGCTGTTATCACAAGCACACATGAAGTAGCTAGTGATCATACAATTCATCTTCAGAGTAAATATTGATCCCTACCACTCTAGTTCCACAAAAAATAAAAATTAACAAATAAATGGGCACTCCTACTGTAAAGCTTACCAAAACATCTTGGGCAGAAGGAAGAAGGATACATGACTTCTCAAAAAAAACCCCAAAAGCCGTACCAAAAATAGATCTGACAAATACCTTCTTAAAACCAACCCCCCCATTTTTCACTTTTCCCTGTAATAAAATAGCAAGCTAAATTCTGAGGGTTTTTTTAATGAAAGAAAACAGCCTTCAGGAAAGGGTTTTGTATACCTGGAAGAAACTCTGATCTTTCAAGAGAATCAAACTTTTAAAGGTGCACCACTGATGTTTTAGGTACATTTTTTTTTTTTTTGTTACATTGAAACAAGCCACCTGTTGCAGAAACACTTAACAAATGAAAACCATCTGTGCAACAACATTTGCTTGCCTGTTGTCACAGACCAAATAACTGCATCACACTGATAAAGCCACATTACTACAGTTTACCAAATGACCTTTAGCTTTTTACTCACCTATACACCGATTAGGACTTACTCAGAACACAGCTTTAGAGACCTCAGCCCTCTTGTTAATAAGTCTGCATCTCTCTACAAGGAAAGATGATGGAAAAATCATTCTTGTAGTACTTCTCTAAATCCTCCTCCTGCCCAACAAACACACCTTGGAAGAGTTCCTCATACACAGTTTAATTACAATATTAAGATTTCAAAAACCAAAACTACAAAACTGAATCCACCTTCCTAAAACTATGGCGCAGTTCAAAAAACACAGCAGTCAGTATCACACTACACAAATAATCTGCCACTCATTTTCTAAACAAGGGCGGTCACACATTTATTTTTGTTTGGCATACTTCAACCATCAAAATCCATACCTTATCACACATGCTACTACCACACAAACTTACATCATAATAAAAGCGCTTTTAAACGTAACCGTACACAGGACACAAGTAACAGCTTAAGATATCCCCACTGCCTTCCAAAGCAGCGGCTCTGACCGGGGCCGCCCGACGCCTGAGGAGCGGAGCACACAGCCCGGCTCCCCTCGACAACGCGCCGACAGCCGGGCGGACGCTGCCGCCACCAGGCGACACTCGAAAGTGAAGACCGCCACCTTTCAGCGGTAGCTTCCTCACCCCCCACAAGCGCGAAAGCGACGTGTGACAGCCACAACCCCCAGAGCACGAGCACTTTACACCACCCCGACGCCGAGCCCAACCACCAGCTATCCACTTCCCCACTCACCCCACGCTGACAAAATGGCGCCACAAAGCCAGCCTCTCACATGCTGCTCGCCAAGGCACATGCGCTGTAGCGCCACGGGAGACTTTAATACTGCTCTGGTGGAGGATAGAGCTTAAACTTGATTGGCGGGAGC